CCTCTACTCCTCTCTCTCCTCTCCTGGCCCTCCTTCCCCCCCCCTCTTCGGCTTCCTGCCCCTCCTTCCGTGTCTCCTAATCTCCATATTCTTCAATTTCTCTCTTTTCTCTCCTTTCCCTTCATTCTAGTTTCTTCCCTTGCTTTATATACACATGGATATGTAAATGAGCATTCATTATGTGTTCCATTGTGTATAACTGTATGTATGTTTGTATGTAATGGTGTATGTATGTATGTATGTATGTGTGTGTGTGTGTGTATGTGTAAATGTATGTGTGTATGTATATATATGTATATGTATATATATGTATGTATATGTATGTAATGCATGTATGTATGCATGATTTGTATGTGTATGTATGTTTGTATGTATGTATGCATGTAAGTGTATATGTATATCTACGTATGTATTTCAATATACATTACGTATTCACAGCACAAACTAGAAAATGAAGCGAGACAAGACAAGCAAGTAAACAGATCTGTGACATGACGAAAGACCAGATTCGCTCTCAGTGCTGTGAGAGAAAATGCACGCATGATCATCTCAAAGAACATGAAACGACATGACAGGAAGGCAGCTCCAGTCTCTCTCCGGATTGGTCTCCCGAGGCTGTGCTGGGGTTTTATCCAAGTGCATAATGTCTGTTGTTGCTTTTTTGTTTTTTGTTTTTGTTTTTGTTTTCTTCTAAGGGGGTAGGGGTGAGGGGGTGGGGGGTGGTGGTGTTGTTGTGTGTGTGTGTGTGTGTGTTTTGTCGACGCGTTTGTTTGTTTCTTTCGTTCATAGTTTTTTTTTATTATTCTCTTTCTGTATCTCTGTCTTTATCTGTTGTTGTATTTTTTTTTCTCTCCTACCTAATCTATCTATCTATCTATCTATCTTCTATCTATCTCATCTCTCTCTCTCTCTCTCTCTCTCTCCTCTTCGCTCTCTCTCCCTCTTTCTCTCTCTCTCTCTTCTCTCTCTCTCTCTTCGCCTCTCTCTCTCTCTCTCTTTCAATCAGCGCGTGTGAAAAAAGAAGAAACAAAGCGAAAGTGCACGTTTGCTTTACTCTCTTTTTACGGAGCCAAAGCTAATTTCACAGCTGCCAGGCATAAGTCACACACACATACGGTCGCGCTGCACTTTTGTTTTGATTCTATTACTTGTAGGAGAAGAAAAAGAAAAGAAGTTTTTATTCCAGTCCCAAGGTCTGACCATCGTTGAAGGAGGGGTCGTATTGTTCGCTTTTTCCCGCCTTTTTTTGGGCAATGTTATTCCGTTTTCTGTAAGGAATGCTATTTCGTTTTCTATTATCGATTTCTTTGGATATCCAATATTTTTTTTAGGGGGAACTTTCTCTAACGCGATGATATGGAAAACTAGATTTTTTTTTCCATTCTTGTGAGAATTCTTAGAAGGAAAGTCAACGAGTAAAAATATATTTACAGAAAAGTTCGGGTAAAAGTTTTGGTGGAGGGATAACAAAGCTAAATATTATTAGAAACGAAATAATGAAATTACCCGCAACAGCAATCCTCCGATGTTCCTTCTAGCAAAGAGAAAATAACAAAGAAAAGAAATGAAAGCAAGAACGATAAAAAGGCAAGAAACGATAAGAAAAAAAACACGAAAAAAAAGATAAAAAGAAAGAAAAAAATAATAATCCACGCACCACATCTTCTTCCGACACGCAATGTTGTTCACCCCGTCAACATATTCACGGACGCCAGGGAAATCCGTAGTAGGTAATCATACTGAATCACCCTTCGCGCTATGTGTTTACTTGTCAAATATGGCATTCAAACATTTCCCAGCCGCTGTGCACTCTCCAGCTGCAGTCCTATCGGGTTCTCAGAGGACTGCGTCTTGCTCCTTTTCTCGGGTGCCGTGGTCCTCGCGGTCGCGCGATCCATGGCAGGCGCTGTTAAATATTTTTGAAGAAGGTGGTTCTTTTTTTTTAATAAATATTGCTCGCTCTGCATCCACTCTTTTTCTTCTTTCTCATTTCTCTTCTGTTATTGTCTGTCTCTATCTCTCTCTATCTCTCGCCTCTCTCCTCTATCCCTCTTTTATTATATTTTATTCTATCTATCTAACTATCTAATATCTCTATCTAATCTGTCCTCCTCTCGGCTCTTTTCTAATCCTTCTCTCTCCGCTCTCATTTTTCCTCCATCTGCTCCTCTCTCTCGTCGTCGTCTCCTCTCCTTCTTTCTTCTCTCTCTTTCTCCTCGCCTCCGTTCCTCCTCTCTTCCCTCTCTCTCCTCCGAGTCTCTCTCGCTCGGGGTCACCGAAGTTCTTCTCCATCTGCCTCGTCTCTCTCTTCTCTTCTTCTCTCCTCGTCTCTCTCCCTCTCTCTCTCTCTCTCTCTCTCTTCTCTCGTCTTTCTCCTCTTTTCTTTCTTTCGTTTCCTTTCTTTCCTTTCTCTCTCTCTCTCCTCTTTCCTTTCTCTCTCTCTCTCTCCATCTCTCTCTCCATCGCTCTCTTCATCTCTTCAGTGNTTTTCTTTTAATTTCGACGTTTCATTGTACTCTGGCTTCTGTCTCCTGTCTGTCTTGTCCTCATGTATTTTATTTTCTTGATCGCTGTTTTTTATTCCTAGCTGACACAGGGTTCTCTACTCTTAAAGAATCACTACTCAAAGATCACAAAGCTCAAAGCCCGCATAAGAAGATCTGATATACGTAGCAAGAGAGAGAGGAAGTCTTATCGCAGTATCTTTTCTCTCATTCTTTCACCTCTACCTGTCTCACATCAACAGTACAGAGTCTCAGTCTCTCATCTACATCGGGATTCACTTCTCTTCTCTCATCGATCGTCACGAGATGGGCTGCTCTCTCTTCTCAAGGCTCTCATATCGTGGATCGGATCTGCTCCTCCTGTCATTAGATGGATCCTCACCTCTCATCTCATTCCCTCTTAACCTATCTACACTTATTCTCTCACTACCCGCCCTCCTCCATCTTCTTCTCCCCAGGGTAGAGGAGCCGACTGGGCGGGTCTACCCTGCGGAGTGTGGCACAGGAGGGCCCGACTGGGCCCAGCGGGATGCCAGTCATGCATGGACTCGGGTGCGGGTGCTGTTGGCAGTGCGCACGCGATAGGGAGCTGCGCCGGTGCCACCCTGTGTGATAAGTCGAGGAACCTCACCTGCGTCTACAACAGCACGGCGGAACCAACGGGGACTTGTTTGGGTGGGTACCGGCGAGGGAGAGAGAGATAAGAGTTAGAGAGATAGAGAGAAAGGAGGGAAGGATGGGAGAATGGGTGGGTATCGGTTTGAGGGAGAGGGGTGGGAGGGAGGTAGGGCTGGGGAGGGAGAGGGAGAAGGGAGTGGAAGAGAGGGGGAGATGGATAGATAGAGATAGAGGGAGGGATTGAGGGGGGGAGGAGGGATGGGAGTGGGAGAGAGAGAGAGGGAGAGAAAGAGAGAGAGAGAGAGAGAGAGAGAGAATGAGGAGTGTGGGGCTAGGGAGGGAGAGAGAGAGAAGGGAGTGGAAAGAGAGGGGGAGATAGAGAGATAGATATAGAGGGAGGGATGGAGGAATGGAGGAATAGGAGAGAGGAGAGAGAGAGAGAGAGAGAGAGGAGAGAGAGAGAGAGAGAGAGAGAGAGAGAGAGAGAGAGAGAGAGAAGAGAGAGAGAGAAGGAGAGAGGGGGGACTGGGTGGGGAGGGAGAGGGGAAAAGGGAGTAGGAAAGAGGGAAGATAGAGAAAGGAATACAGATAGAGAGAGGGAGTGAAGGAGGGATGGAAATGGGAGAGAGGGAGTGGAAGAGAGGGGAGATAGATAGAGAGAAGGGAAGGGAGAAAGACGGTAAGGAAAGAGAGAGGGAATGAAAGAGGGGAAAGATAGAGAGATAGAGGGATGGAGGGGAGGAGAGGGGGGAAGGAGGTAGGGATGGAGGGATGGAGGGATGGAGAGGGAGAGGAGAGAGAAGAGAGAGAGAGAGAGAGAAGGAGAGAGAGAGAGAGAGAGAGAGAGAGAGAGAGAGAGAGAGAGAGAGAAATGAGAGAAGACAGAGAGAGAGAAATAGAAAGAAGAGCGAGAAAAACATAAAGAGAGAAAGAGAAAAAAATAAAAAAGAGAGACAGAGACAGAAAGAGAAACAGAAACAGAAAGAGAAACAGAAAAAAAAGACAACGGACCACAGCTGTTCCCCCTTATGAAAATGAATGGTAACCCAATAGACACAGGGGATTATAGGAGGATTACGTCCTTTTCCTTAATTAGCACATCTTATAGAGTACAGATATCGACTTCCGAGGACAAGGGAAGGAGAGTGTTGTTCTTAAGACCCCCAGTAAGACACTAACACTTGTCAAAAGGAAAGCTAAGGACATGTAGGCGATGTGGAAATCTAGGAAATGTAGGACGGGGTATGTTATGCTATGTAGCGAACGTATATTAAATGTCTATGTGTATAGCATATGTGTATATTTTATTATATTGTGGTAAGGTATATATGTGGTGAGATAGAATCATATGTATATAGTAATTAAGAAGATATGATACATGGTATATAGCATTGGAGTGGTTACTCAGAGATAAGCATATGCATATACATAAGGTGATATAGTGTGGAATGAATATGATACTAGTTAATTGCGATGGTAAATAGCAGTGTCAATAAGAAAATAGGCTAGTTAGAGGGAGAGAAAGAGAGAGTGAGAGGAAGGGGTGAGGGAGAGAGGGAGAGAAAGAGAAAGAGAGAGAGAGAGGAAGGGGTGAGGGAGAGAGAGAGAGAGGGAAAGAGAGAAAGAGAGAATGAAAGGGAGAGAGAGGGGCGCGTGAAAGGGAGAGAAAGAGAGAGAGAGAGAGATAAATAGAGAGAGATAAAGAAAAGAGCAAGAAAAGCACAGATACAAACCAATTGCTCCTCTCTCCTCTCCTCTCACCATTCCCTCTCTTCTCTTTCTCCTCCTATCCTTCCTAATCCTGCGTTCTTCTTCCCCCAGTGGTTAAACCGGCGAAGTGTACTGTCAACAACATAACTTATGAGGACGGAGAGACCTTCAATCTGGACTGCCGCACACAGTGTACATGTAAAGTAAGTTTGCCTCGACCTTTTTGCTGGGACCTTGTGGTGCGCATTTCTGAGGTGGCTGGGCCTTGCGGTGCGCATTTCTGAGGTGGTTGGGCCTTGTGGTGCGCATTTCTGAGGTGGTTGGGCCTTGTGGTGCGCATTTCTGAGGTGGCTGGGCCTTGTGGTGCGCATTTCTGAGGTGGTTGGGGCCTTGTGTGCGCATTTTGAGGTGTTGGGCGTTGTGGTGCGCATTTCTGAGGTGGTTGGGCGTTGTGGTCGCGCATTTCTGAGGTGTTGTTGTGGCATTTCTGAGGTGTGGGCCTGTGGTGCGCATTTCTGAGTGGTTGGACTTGGGTGCGCATTTCTGAGGTGGTTGGGCATTTCTGAGGATGGGGGCCTTGTGGTGCGCATTTCTGGAGGTGGTTGTGGTGCGTTGTGGTTGGATTTCTGAGGTGGCTGGGCCTTGTGGTGCGCATTTCTGAGGTGGCTGGGCCTTGCGGTGCGCATTTCTGAGGTGGTTGGGCGTTGTGGTGCGCATTTCTGAGGTGGTTTTGGCGTCGCGCATTTTTCTGAGGTGGTTGGGGCGCGCATTTCTGAGGTGGCTGGGCCTTGTGGTGCGCATTTCTGAGGTGGCTGGGCCTTGTGGTGCGCATTTCTGAGCGCATTTGTGGTGCGCATTTTCTGAGGGTGCTGGGCCTTGTGGTGGCGCATTTCTGAGGTGGCTGGGCTTTGTGGTGCGCCATTTCTGAGGTGGTTGGGCCTTGTGTGCGCATTTCTGAGGTGGTTGGGCCTTTGTGGGCGCATTTCTGAGGTGGTTGGGCCTTGTGGTGCGCATTTCTGAGGTGGCTGGGCCTTGTGGTGCGCATTTCTGAGGTGGTTGGGCGTTGGGGTGCGCATTTCTGAGGTGGTTGGGCCTTGTGGTTTTCTGGCATTTCGAGGTGAGGTGGTGCGCATTTCTGGGTGGCCCTTGTGGTGCGCCATTTCTGAGGTGGCTGGCCTTGTGGTGCGCGCATTTCTGAGGTGGTTGGGCCTTGTGGTGGGCATTTCCCTTGTGGGTGCCATTTCCTGAGGTGGCTGGGCCTTGTGGGTGCGCATTTCTGAGGTGGTTGGGCCTTGTGGTGCGCATTTCTGAGGTGGCTGGAGCCTTGGTGGTGCGCATTTCTGAGTGGTTGGGCCTTGCGGTGCGCATTCCTGAGGTGGCTGGGCCTTGTGGTGCGCATTTCTGAGGTGGTTGGACCTTGCGGTGCGCATTTCTGAAGGTGGCTGGCCTTGTGGGTGCGCATTTCTGAGGTGGTTGGGCCTTGCGGTGCGCATTTCTGAGGTGGCTGGGCCTTGTGGTGCCGCAATTTTCTGAGGTGGTTTGGACCTTGCGGTGCGCATTTCTGAGGCTGGGCCTTGTGGTGCGCATTTCTGAGGGGTTGGGCCTTGCGGTGCGCATTTCATGAAGGTGGCTGGGCTTGTGGTGCGCATTTCTGAGGTGGTTGACATTGCGGTGCCCCATTTCTGAGGTGGGCTGGTGGCTTGTGGTGGCGCATTTCTGAGGTGGCTGGGCCTTGTGGTGCGCATTTCTGGGGTGGTTGGGCCTTGCGGTGCGCATTTCCTCTACATCTTGGTGTTTCTTTATTCAGCTGTTGTTGTTCGTCGATATTTAGCCACATACATGAACAGTAACATGCACGCACATATGCACACAGACAGATACACACACACACATATACATCCGCGCACGCACGTCCGCAACGCGCACACACAGCACACACACACACACACAAACACACAACACAGCACAACGCACACGCTGCAAAGCAAAATGTATAATAATATGATATATATAATATATAATATATATATTATATATATATATATATATATATATATTATATATATATATTATATAAGTTATATATATATATATATAATTATAATATAATAATATAATATATAATAATATATATATATGAATGGAAAGGTATGAATGAGACTGGATATCTTTACAATACAAAGATGTATTTGACCCGGTTTCGATTACGTCTTCGTCAGAAATACATGAAATTTCTCTTTCTCTCGGATTAATATATATATAATATATATATATAAATATTATATAATATATATATATAATATATTAATTATATATAAATATATATATATATAATATATATACATATATAACATATAGTAATGAACCATCGTTGGATACGATATCTATTTAAAGCTATTTCTCTTTCATAGTATTTTGCTTAAATATTTATATCGCCCAAATATTCCTAAACAATTCCTCCAGTAGAATTCGCCAAGGATTTACCCCCGCNCATCAGCAACAACGTCAGCACCAACAACTTCAGCATCAGTAACGTCAGCACCAGCAACGTCTGCATCGACAACTTCAGCATCACCAACACATCAGCACACCAACATCATCAGCACCACCAACAACGTCAGCAGCAACGTCAGCACCAGCAAGGAGGCGCGGTGAGCAAACAAGCCTT